TTCTATTCTATTGTTTGGCAAGTTTTTTTTTTTTTTAGTGTAATTATGAGATTTGATTTTGTTAATTACATTAATTTTTTAGTATTTCATTATTTCACTTTATTGTCTTTTGCAAAATCATTCTATTTTATAGTTAATTCTTAAGATTTTCCATTTTTCATCATAATGTATTTAAAAATGCTTTCCAGTTATTTTAGCAGCAAATCGAGTAATAGTTGATGCAAAACTTTATAGCATCGAATACTTTGATTTTTGTATCAAGGTTTTATATGATTGAAAAACGCTCACCTCGCAAGGTCATTGAATGTTGGAGCATTTGGATACAAATTCAGGTTATTGATTTCAATAAGTTTTTAGAATTAAATAATATGTTGCAGTTGTTATCAGATATTTGAATGTTTCTATAATGACATTTAGATATAATAAAGATAATTTTTATATAATGAAAAAATTTTTTTCAATGTAGATAAGCATTTAATAAGTGTCTGTTATGTACTTTTTTTCAAAAATAGATAATGTTAAGGGAAATTTGCAAATAAGGGCCCAGAAAGTGAAAATAATTACAAACATGGGCTTGAATTAAAAATAATTGCATATAAAGGGTTAATTTTTTAAATATATTTATTACATATGAGGGCCTAAATCTATTAATAAACTATAATAAACATTTAGAGTTATCTATATACTGATTATAGATTAATTAATTAAAGAGAAATATAATAATGGGTTTTGTGTAAAAATTATAATTTAAGTAAGAACATAATTTTTTCTAAATCGATATCTATGGAATGCATGTTTGATTTGCCATGTTTTGGATTAGGTAGAATGCATAAATAAAGTTTCGATTGATTTTTTTTATGATTCAATGTCGAATGAAATTTTGCTTTACTGTAGTAAAAAACAGGTATTAGATTAACCAATTTTAGTTTGAGGTATGAATTTTGGTAATTTCATAGTTAATTATTTAAGGTTCATGCATATTTTAATAATTAAATAAGAAAAAAAGATTACAGTATTGCTTTTTTTGATCATTGAACTAATAAATAAACAATAAGTTATCGGTATTATATATTTTAATTATGTTGATAACATATTTTATTTGTAAACCAAAAATTATTGAAATAACCATTTGTCTCTTTGCTTGGTAATTAAATAATTTTTATTGCTTGCTTCTACAACTTAACAAAAAAGCTATGAAGATAGATAATTAGTTATATTTGGTAATCAAAGTTGGGGATGGTTTTATTATTTTATTCATGTGGTTTAATAATAAGGGATTTCCTTTTTATTCGTTATTTATTATTTATATTGATTTACTAGCTAAGGTAAAGTAATCATGTTATATTTAGTAAAATTAAGATATGCGCTATTTAATTTGTGCATTTTAGGACTTCTGTTTTAACCATCATTTGCAATTTTTTTTTTATATATACAACTGGTGTTTAATAAGTGAAATTTTGAGAGCGCTTGCACAGTGCTTCGCATGCACTACTATTGTGCTAGTGAAACGCATAAAGAGTATATAGACTATAATTGTTTGAAATTTGTAAAGTCTAAAATTACCAAAAAAAGATAAGCCAAAAAAAATATATTACCAAAAATAAATAGCAATACACCAAAATTTACCAGAAAGGTAATTTAAAGTAGCACTAAATGCTAATGATTATTTCTAAGCGCTAAAGAATCTTTTTCAATAATCAAATTATGATTAATAATTTTATATACAGTCTTCCATATCTATAGTAATAGCTATATTAAAAAATAATATTTTGTGACTATATAGAGGTTTTATTAAACATTTTTTTTAATTTTATAGTCATTTTATTAATATAAACATTAGCTCTGGCTCTAATTTTCTTAACAACTACTATGCCAAATTAGCTAAAATTTTTACTGAAGATAAATATATTACCGTATTGGCGCGTAATAACGCACATGCGCGTTAATTTGAAACACGCCTTTTTCTGAAAATTGCATTTTTGACTCGAATTAACGCACATGCGCGTCCCGAAATAACGCGCACCTTTATATAAGTAGATCATATATTGAATTGACCGTCTCCAAATTTGTCAGAATGATTCGAAATATCGCGCATGCGCGTCCCGAAATAACGCGCAGGGCCTCGAAATAACGCGCAGATGCGCGTTATTACGCGCCAATACGGTATGCTAAATTTAGGAATCTACCGCTATTGGACCTACACATCCGACATGGAAAATGATTCAAAAATATGCCCTATGAAATCTTAAATCGAACAAAAGGTAAATTTGACCACAGTCAATCCGATTCATACCTTTAATTTACCTCATTATATGGCTTATGTGCATTGTTAAGGAGTCTGTAATTAAATGAATAAAATTTTAAAATTATTGTATTCCAATTTTTTTTCTAGTAACACTTCAAAAAATTTTAGTTAAAAGTAGTAAATGTACTAAACTTGAGATACTATAATAAACTTAAGATTTATGTCTTTGGCATTAGAGACTCATTGTAATATCGTTATGAGTGACTTAATGCATTTATTGAAGTAGCAGAAAATTTGCCAAAAGAATTTGATAAATCAGTCAGACAAAAAGAAATCAAAAATAACTTGAAAAAACTAACAAGTGAATTTAGTATTCATAGCAGTTACTTTAGAAACTTTAATTATAAAGTATATAAATTGGTAGAAATTACCTTTTTAAACATGACTATTGAGTTTTTAAAGGGATAACACCATTACATTAGGCTTAGGTATAATCAAGGACTGCAAATGAAATTACAAAGTATTTTAATAATAGTGCTTGTTGCATAATTTATAAAGAAAATCCATATGAATATAAAAACGCCTGAAGCAATTATTATTATTAAATTCATCTTGTTAAAATATACAAAAAATTATTATGCATATCCACTATGCTCTGTGAATATTGAGAAAATTTATCTTCACAAAAAATTTCAATAGAAAATTCCTGTAAGTCATATGAAATTGCAATCAAATTATCATAGCAATCTACCTACAATTTTTATTAAACAATTATAATTTAGTTGAACAGATTTAATTAAACACAAAAATTATATTATAAGTTATATGTAAGATTAAAAAATTGTATAAATATAAAAATTTTTTTGTTTAATAAACTTATTTATATTTTTCATATTTTAGGTAGTTTGTAGTTAAAGAATATAATAAAAGAAATCGGTAATACATGTACTCATTGCATATACTCATACATGAAATATACTATTATTACAGGTGGCACTGCTGGGGCTAATTCAACAGAGAAGGCAAAAATGTAACAAATTGTTGCTTAAAATTCTTCAACGTTGCATAACATTACTCAAGGTAAAGGCAAGGTGGAATTAATTTGGCAAAGATTTAAAGCAACCTTTTGAGTAATTGTAACAAGTAAGTTTAAAAAATATTAGTTTTATTGTATACTTGAGGTCTTTAGTAACAAACTTATTTAATTTGGGCACAATTTATTTTTATTATCTTGTAGGGTGTTCTTCTCTACTCTAGTGCTTGGCAAAATCAAACAAAAACTTGATTATTGAGTTTTTAAATCTATTAATTTACAATATTGTGTATTAAATACAAATTTTATTTTTAATATATATATAAATCTAATAGAAATCTGATCTTACTTTAGACTGGTAACTAACATAAAGTTTAAAGACAGATTAGAGTAAACATTGATTTTATAATTGAAGCACAATACTATAAATTGATAGATTCAAAAACTCAATAATCAAGTTTTTATTTGATTTTGCTGATCACTACTCTACTCTTTTGCAAGAGGAGTTTTTAATCTATATTTATAAAGAATTATAGTGAAAATGAGAAGGAAAATTCAAATGCTTCTAAGCTTATTTTACTACTATTTAAGCCATTTTACTCAATTTTGACTAATACTTTCCCCTTTCTACAACTCAGTCTTCATTCTATTGGTATTTTTTCATTGAGTTTTACTTCTCAATAATACATCAACACTTAACAAGTGATAGTATACTTATTTAGCACACATTTTATCTAACAAAGTCATATTATCTTGATAGTCGTTAACCAAATCAAGCAGGTAGCTTTTCTTCTATAGGATCAGCATTACTAACCTAGTTAAGAAACTTGGTTCTAACAGTTTGCTATAAGGTGATCAGCATCTAATTCTTCCTGAACATAGTATCATTACACAATGCTCATTCATACATTGTCATAAGATTTGCTGTGTTGGTTTTGCAAGAGCCTAGAGTTAGTTTTACCTCTAACACTATCTACTTATATGTGATATAATATATACTATATATCTATATATTTGCTTTATAAATACAAAATAACTATATATGTTATATATATATATGGTCTATACTATAAGAAAAAAAATAAAAAAAGCTAGAAGAATTTGATTTTTTTTCTTGTAACTTTGTGACACTTGTCAAGAATATGCTCTTTTAATCTAGAAGTCCCAAGAACTATCATTTAGAATGGCGAAAAATGATAAATGATTTGTCACCAACTATAATATTCATTCAAATGAAGATATTTAAAGCAATATACTATATTGAATTTACTCGATTGCAGATGATAAAGTAAAATTTGTATTGTAACTCAATAATTTGCAGTTTCAATGAACCTTGATAAACAAGATAAAAACTAATTTTATTTTTAATAAATATACGATATTATAAGTAAATACTGATTGGTCTTTTTATAAAGAAATCAGAAATCAGAATCAGAAATCATCGAAATTAAATCATTAAATTATAATAATTAAATTAGTTCGATTTTTATGCTTTGCAAGTGCATACGCCTTAAAGAATCATTTATTGTTATATCCAAGATTCAAATAAGGAATATGGTAAAATACTAATACCTAAAAAATATCGCAATCGTCTCACACAATGCGTTAATTTATTTTTAAGAAATCATGTGTGCCTTTAATTACATGATGTACCGCAGAATGGATTTTTTCAGGTCTTTGTCTGGTAAGAAATATTTGAAAACCCTTGTCGTGCTCATTCGATTAAACTATACTAAAATACACTTTCTTTTTTTTCATATTTTCTAAACGCATATTATCTTTAGCAGTTTCCTTACTGAATAATATGCTTGTTAGATAAAAATTTAAATGCCTAAATAATACAATTAGTAAATATATGAACAAAATAATATGAAGGTAGTTAATAAACTTACCTCATTAAATTCATTTTGGAACGCTTTATCATTGTAAAACGCTAAGTTTAGAACTTTATCAAGCATATTTTCAAGATCTCGAACTTCTTGAAATGTTGTGGAAATTTCAATTTGTAGATTACCACCAGCGACGATTTCTTTAATTCCAATTTTGTTAATTACTTTATCAAAATCACGTATATAATCGCTTATAACACTTTTCATCTCTTCGTGGCCCTTTCTAACCCTCCTAAATAACCGATACATCCTTTTGAGATCTAGTTCATAAGGGTTTAAGAATATAATGATTGCAAATAATAGTATAATATAAAAATCCATCCATACCATTTATATTTTCATTTCTTAACATGTTAATTAAGCCCGAGATTTCCATCTATATAATCGCTATTAATTTATAGAAATAATAAACTTTATCCGGCAAACTCATATGATCATGAAAAAATTTCTTTCTGTTATTTTTTTCATGTGTTACGATATAATTATGT